CTGTCAGTCCTTCTTCAGTGGTATTATGTGTGTGTAGGCTGCTTTGTCTAAAACTTCATCTGTGCTGAAAGCCTGTTTTTCTCAACCTTCAAATCAGAATCCAAAACAGTTTCTTCAACTAGTCCCCGTGCTGCCTATAAAGATTCTAGTAATTCCTTTTTAACAAGTACCTCAATTTTTATGTAATTTTCCTTTTGGAAATTAACCACAACCATAGTGGATGTTTTGGTTTTGTTGCTCCAGCAAGAACATTAAATTCAAATTTATTATGGTCATTTTACAGAGTAGCTCCTTGACAGAAGTATTTGGCATCCAATCAACTCAAGAATGCTAAATCCTGGTGGTAATTCTAGAGGTAGAGTAGGTCTTCTATTTGGGGGCTCAGACTAGCCGAAGATTTAGCTCATAATATTAATTCTGCTGTCATTCTCTTACCAGACTTTAACATTTAGTTAGGGCACAGGCATACAGCACATTAGCTTCATAGAGAAGGGTTGCAAGAGCACCTGCTGTCATGAGAACAGTTTTTGATCTCAGGTTGGAAGCAGATTAAGAAAGAACGGCAATTCATCAGAGATTGTTTATTGATTTGAATTTCACTACGGGCTCCCACGGAAATTTGCTTTTCAAGTTCAAGAAACACCTGGCTTGGATATCTAAATCAATCCATCATTAAAGATTTCAGGAAAGTGGAATTGGAACTTACCCCTTAATAGCCATGCAGAACTTACACATAACCTTACAAAGAATTCATAGGTTGTTCATTTTTCCAAAATCTTTGTACAAACTAACGTATCTTTGCTTTCTATGTTTCAAGAATTCTCTTCTTATCTCCCTATTTAATAGTTTAAGGAGGCTAAGATGTTAGAGAAGAAAAATGCATCGGCAGTTCTGGATGGACTTACACGTCAAACTTCTGAACACCAAAAATATACTTACATTTTCACTGAAACAGCATTGCCAAGAACTGATTAAGTATAACCTGTGCTTGTGACATTAGCCTCTGTAAAATAAGTAAATGTTGGTTATTGCCCAATATACCTCATCTACATGTGGCTTTATGATAGAGTTAATATTTTAATATACTATATATGCATACCTATGTATACATTATTTTAGAATGTTAGTGTAATCATAAAAGGTGATCTGTTTTAGGAACTGCTGTTCAGAAATGTGGGGTTTGTTTTATTACCTCTAAGATTATGTCATCTATCTGACCACCAGTGTCAATATTTGTAGTCACACTTCAGATTTCACTAGTATATGGTCCATTCATCAGGTTTTTTGCAACATTTTGGAAAGGAATCAAGCAGCTCCCTGCCTTCAGTCTGTCTGTGCAGTCCTGTGCACACATCTAGATTAATACAACTGCATTTTCTTCTCTTGTGATTTTCCAAACTGTAACTACTGCTGCCTAAAACTTCACCTGTGCTCAAAACCTCGCTTTCTGAACCTTCAAATCAGAATCCAACACAGTTTCTTTAGCAACCAGGTGGCAAAAAAATCCCATGATGGGATGGAACTCCTTGCTGGCAAACAGCTGACCAAGGCAAAACAGCAGATCATTTAAAAAAATCCAATGTGCCTTGCTCCCAATCAATGTGTGAGTATTACAGGGGAGCCCAATGTACCTGTAAGAAGTCACTTGCAGAGTTAAGTGGGCTGCCTGTGTTTTTTGATTTAATTTACAGCTCTTGCAAACTACTGTCTTCCCACTATTGTGTCTCAGACTGCAGAATGAACACGACCAATCTATACCAATAGTTAGAATAAAGTACCAGTAGAATTTTAAAAAGAAAGTGATCGCAAGTAACATTTAGAATTACTCTTAAGCCATGCAAAACAATGTTGTGCAAAGCACAGTTAACCAAGAGAGCCCTAGATGTAACTCAGTAGTCAACGGGGGGAAGCCCTCATCCCACTGTTCCACGGCAGTATGCTGGTTCTCTTTCCATGCTTGGCAGAGCATTTTGTGAAAGATTTTGCTAATTAAAATCCAGGCCCTCCCTCTATCACTGTTTGTTATGGTCAGAATGTCCTTATACAGCCAGGGACCATCTGTTGAAGTTACTTTCAGGGCAGCATGCTGTAAAACCTTTTCATTCAAGTCAAGCATAAATAAATAACTGCAATTGTTGTATTTCTTAGTTACATTGTATTAATTATATCTAACTTTCAAAGTGCCTGAGAACGCATCTAATTATTTTTCCTGATTTCAGAGAGGTCACGTACCTTGCATAAAGATTTTAAGCTTTTAATCTGAATTTCAAAATACGCTTTAAAACCAACACCTTAGTATCTTTGAAGGATGTCTTTCTGATAGAGCAGGAGTAAACATTCATCCACAAAGAGCGACTTTTTATTTCCTGTTTAAACTGTCAGAGAACAAACAGATTGTACAGACAGATTGTAAATGGGCTAATATTTTTACGGCAAATCCAACTCATGTTAGTACAGCACCATTTCCGCCTTAAGATCAGCACTTAAGTGCTAAAGCAATTATTTTCTCAAAGTAATATAAATGGACTAATATTTATACAGCAAATGTAACTCCTGTTAGTATGGCATCATCTCCACCTTAAGATTAGCACCCAAGCACTAAAGAGGTTCCTTTCTGGAAGTAAGAATCCAAAAACTTCTGGTTCTAAATCCACAGTAAGGGACATTTCCTAGAATGCAGCACGGGATTAGCTCTGTTCGTTGGGGAAATCCTTGTGAAGTGGGAGATTTAATCAAAACAATCCTTGCCTTCCAAGTCACTCATGACAACATCACCACTGGTGCCCGGGCTGTGCTGCTTCTCGGAGCGTCATCACCTCCCAAGCCAAAGCTTTGAAGCAAGGCTTCAAGGCAGGGGAAAG